TTTTTTTTAATTTGATTTATATGCTGCCCTTCTCCGGAGACTCAGGGCGGTTTACAATGCGTTAAGCAATAGCCTTCATGCTTTTGTATATTTTATAGAAAGTCAGCTTATTGCCCCCACAAACTGGGTCCTCATTTCACCTACCTTAGAAAGGATGGAAGGCTGAGTCAACCTTGAGCCTTGGAGAGATTCGAACCAGCAGAAATTGCAGGCAGCTGTGTTAATAACAGGGTGCGTAGACCACTGTACTATCAAGGCTCACTTTCAGACTGGTGGAGTTGAGGGCAACTTAAGTCTGTCTCACTTGGAAATTTGGGACAAGATGAATGGCCCCTGGCAGGGAAAAATAATTGCCAATATTATTGGTATCACATAGTATTGTGATCAAGTGGAAGTTGGAAAAGGCTCTTTTTGGTGATGTTTAGTTGCTAAATTGTGTCCGGCTGTTTGCAACCCCATGGGCCACAGCATACCAGTCCCCCTTTCTCCATTATCTCCCAGAGTTTACCCAAACTCACGTTAATTGCATTGATGACAATATCAAACCATCTCATCTTCTACTGTCCCCTTCTCCTTTTGCCTTCAATCTTTCCCAACATTAGGGACTTTTTCCCCCAATGAGTCCTCTCTTCTCATTAGGTGGCCAAAATATTTGATCTTCAGCATCAAAGGTTGATTTGGCAATTCAAATCTCACCAGTAAAAAAATCTTTTTTTACCAGTAAAAAAAAAAACTTTTTTACTTTTAAAAGCATTTTTTCGGCCAAGAAGTTGTAGAAAAAATGCTTTTAAAAGGCTCTGACGATCCCAGCTGAGCCGCGCGATCATCAGAGGCTTTTTTAAAAAAAAAAACTTTTAAAAGCACTTTTTCGGCCAAAGAGGTGGTAGAAAAAATGCTTTTAAAAATAATAATAAAAAAAAGCCTCTGATGATCGCGCGACTCAGCTGGGCATGGGGGAGAGGGACAGGGATTTTTGCTACCGGTTCTCTGAACCACCCGCCACCATCGCTACCGGATCAGGTGATCCAGTCCGAACCGGGAGCATTTCACCCCTGCTGCCTAGGTTTGCCACAGCTTTCCTCCCAAGTCATTTTATGCCCCAAACTCTACTTTCTTCATCTGAATGAGTTCAGATGGAAAGGAACTGAGTTTGAATCTCATTTTAGTCATTCAATCTCCTGGCTATGTTTAAACGAATTCCTTACAAGCCCACAACAGCTTAGCCACGTGTATCCCCCTTAATCCAGTCAATATAGCTAATTAAGAACTTAACGTGCTATACAAGTCACAGACATTCAACCTAGTCTGCTTCAGGGTTTTTTTTTTTATATATTGTAAAAAGAATGAAGTTTATTTATAGACTGTTTGCAGAGCTGACAAACACAGCCAGAATTATTATGTAAGTGTGGAAAAACACACACTCATACACATGCATACATGCCAGAAAATGGGGTAATCAACATTCATGAATACTTTAGGTCACTTATCTGCTAAAGTATAAACTGTTTCCCACCCCCTTTTCAATATTTATATCAGGAAGGTTTCTACAACTGGCAGGAACCTACAGTAGCTTGTCTGTTCTTCAAAGCCAACTTCCTTCTCCTTTCCACTAGGAGGATTCCAAAATGAAGTCATTGAGTTGTCCCGCTCTCGTTTCCCCCCACCCCCATGTAAATGATCTCTCGCAACCTCACCTACCTGTGCCCGTATTGCACCTGCCTGACTCAACTTGCCCTAAAAGGTTTGCGGTCTCTTGTAGGGAGGGATTACGTATTGTCAACTGAATCCCTTTACAGGTTTTCAATAACGCTCTTCTCATTTTCCCACCTCTCTTTCTGATTCTTCAGCACCTCCCAAGAATGGATAGTCAAGAATATTTTTTTCCAAGTAAGGCATTTATCTGGAGGAATCTGCCTCCTTCCCAAACGCCTTTGGCGTTTAGTCATGCCAGCCACATGACCATGGAGACATCTTTGGACAACGCTGGCTCTTTGGCTTTGAGCACCGCCCCCTAGAGTCGGGAATAACTAGCACATATGCGCAAGGGGAACCTTAACCTTTACCTTTAGTAAGGTGTTGACCCTGCTTCATCCTCCCCCAAAACCAAGACTGTAACCAAAATAGCATTTTGATAATCCCTATAATTAACGTGCCATAGCAAAGGAAGAGATAGACCACTTTTTGATTTATATCAATTCTTTAAGTATATATATTTAACCCTTTTGAAACCCCACCATTCTACTATTGGGATTGCACTAGGTTTTCTTTCACAAACACTGTGAAAGAAATCAATATTCCACACTTCACAATAATCTTGTGAACTGTGGAATAAGTGAAAAAGATGCATTTCTTAGGTTGTTTCCACCCAATTGTTGTTGTTATTAGTTGCGAAGTCGTGTCCGACCCATCGCAACCCCATGGACAACGTTCCTCCAGGCCTTCCTGTCCTCTACCATCCCCCGGAGTCCATTTAAGTTCACATTGACTGCTTCAGTGACTCCATCCAGCCACCTCGTTCTCTGTCGTCCCCTTCTTCTTTTGCCCTCAATCGTTCCCAGCATTAGGCTCTTCTCCAGCGAGTCCTTGTTTTTCATTAGGTGGCTAAAGTATTTGAGTTTCATCTTCAGGATCTGGCCTTCTAAAGAGCAGTCAGGGTTGATCTCCTCTGGAACTGACCGGTTTGATCGCCTTGCAGTCCAAGGGACTCGCAGGAGTCTTCTCCAGCACCAGAGTTCAAAGGCCTCAATTCTTTGGCACTCAGCCTTTCTTATGATCCAACTTTCACAGCCATCCATTGCAACTGGGAAAACCATAGCCTTGACTATATGCACTTTTGTTGGCAGGGTGCTTTTTAGTATGCTGTCTAACTTTGCAAATTAAATCCAAGTCAGACCACAGATAATTGCCCTTCATGATAAATGCCGGAGTAATCCACTTGGCCATTGCCCCACAGAGACAAAGCCTAAAGAAATCTTGCATCAATTTACATTTTTCTTAGAAGCCCTTGTGACACATACAGTATATGCAATAGGTGTGCCCCCCCTCTCTCTCTTTGGTATCTTTCTGATCTCCTAATCTAAATCACTCATTTCATCCTCTTCCCTCAAGAGCTGCCACTTACTCACCAGAGATTTACTCTGCTTTGTCCTTTCAAACCACAAGATGCCTGGCATTTTGCAGAGGTCTCCCTCCTGGCTTCCCTTCCCTTCCTTTCCCTGAACCATAAATCAAGGAATCTCTTATTGTGGTTACTCTAAAGGCAGTGGCTTTGTGGAATGCTGGATCCACAACCTTGACCCTGTGTGGAGGAAGCAAGGAATGTGGGTGAGATCACACCCCTTGGCGGAAGGGTGCAGTGTTTGCAAATGATGCAACAACAAAAACAACAACAGTGGGGGTTTCTGATTGGCAGGCAGGCCTTCATGCACGGAAGGCTTCACAGATAAAGCTGGTGAGGGCTTAAAAGTGTGGAACAGCCAATGCGGTTTAACCAAGTAGTCACAGGGAGAATCCAAGGGACGTGGTGAATTTGGTTTAAGCTTGCAAATATAAGCAGGAGGCACACAGGAGAACATGCATGGCTCAAACTTCATTAAGCAGTTCATTCGGCAACCCTGGTACCGTTTATCAGCCTATCTTAACAGGTAGTGCTAGGATGAAATAGAAAGGAGACAGGAGTACACTTATCATCTCAAGGACTTTGAGAAGGTGCTAGCTAGGCCCTCATAGGACCTTTATATGATTTGAAGGGATGATGTTGCCCCCTGGGGACCAATCTGGGTAGGACATTAGACCCAGGGCATGGATTTCCTGCTTAAATTTCTCTTCAAAACTGGAGATGCATTTTTTTCCCTTGGAAGGTTTAATGGGATATTTATGATATATATGTTAGCTAGATTCCTTCCTTCCTTCCTTCCTTCCTTCCTTCCATCCTTCCTTCCTTCCTTCCTTCCTTCCTTCCTTCCTTCCTTCCTTCCTTCCTTCCTTCCCAACAGATGTGCACACTCGATATAAACACAGACATGGTGTAGGTCAATTTGTGGGTTGCTAGGAAGAAAAAAGAAAAGTGGTTGATTGGTTTGTGGTTCTGTGCACTCAGACAAGTGGGTTCATTGAGTAAACTATGGTTAGAGAAATTGTTAGTAGGCTATATAGGAATACAAAGCACCCAAGTTGAATTCTGGTGCAGGAAGTGGGGGGGGACATCTTACCAACCATCATCCACCACTCACAGGATGAGAACTTGCCTTTCTTCAATACTAAATAGAATAGAATAGAATAACAGAGTTGGAAGGGGCCTTGGAGGTCTTCTAGTCCAACCCAAATGGATAACCATTTGTCTGAAGTGGTGTAGGGTTTCCTGCCTGGGCAGGGGGTTGGACTAGAAGACCTCCAAGGTCCCTTCCAACTCTGTTATTCTATTCTAACGCCCTGCTTAGGCAGGAAACCCTACCCCGCTTCAGACAAAATGCTTATCCAACATCTTCTTGAAAATCATTTCTTTCAAACCCAAACTCTCTCCCGAACTTGGGAGTTCTCCAAAACGTTGGGCTGAAACTCCTCCAGTCGGCAGGGCTGAGGATGATGGAACTGCGCTCCAGATACCAGGCAACGAGTCAGCCAGGGCAGAGATCGCTGATTCCCTCCCACCCCACCACCCTACTACTGCCTCGAAGTCCGGCCACATCCAGCCCATCGGGTCGACTTCTTGGATGAACGTCTGGAGTGCTGCAGGAGAGTCGCTGGGGGAAGAAGTGCGCGACTTGGGTAGCCAGGCGAGAAAAGGACGGCGGTGGCAGCGGCAGCAAAGCGACGCGGGACGATTGGTTGGCTCGGTGCCCCCTTGGCTCGCCAACCGAAGGGCGCCCCCGTCCCACGCAGGGAGGCGAGGTGAGAGGCGTGCCCCACGGGCGCCTGTGACGCGCAGCCTGGCAGGGTTATAAAACACCTGCGGCGGAGACCTGGGACCTCAGAAGCGTCTCTGGGAGGCTTTGGGGAGGGCAAAGGGGGAAGCCAAGTGTCCGCCTCTTTCAAGGATTAAGCTAAGCCACCATGGTAAACTATCTGTCCTGTTTCTTTTCCTTTGCAGTCGCCCTTTGCGTCCTGCTGCCAGAAGGTGAGAGAACCGTCAGGATTTTTTTTTTTTAAAGCATAACTATTTTGGGGCTCTGCTTTGTGCCTGTTTTAAATCCTATTTTTTCCTGGTTTTAAAAAATGCATTTTGCTTGGAAAGGAGCCTTAGCGTTGGAAACCCCCCCCCCCCTCTTTAGTTCTTGTCAGCCAGATGCCAACCACCCATCTCCATCCTCCGGTGATCCCTGCAACGAGACCACATTTTGCCTTCAGCTTCTAGGCGACTCCAGGCTGGAGGAAGGAGCTCTAGTGAAATCTGGCTTTGCAGCAGTGGTGAAATCCAAATTTTGTTTACTACTGGTTCTGTGGGTGTGGCTTGGTGGGCACGGCAGCAAAATCTCCGTTCCCACTCCACTCCTGGGAGGAGGATATTGCAAAATCTCCGTTCCCATCCCACTCCTGGGGGAAGGATATTGCAAAATCCCCATTCCCTCCCCACTCCTGGGGAAAGGATATTGCAAAATCTCCGTTCCCACCCCACTCTGGGGCCAGCCAGAAGTAGTATTTGCTGATTCTCCGAACTGCTACCGGTTCTCCAGAACCTGTCAGAACCTGCTGGATTTCACCCCTGCTTTCCAGGGATACAGGGTCCTCTAATTTTACTCCTAGCACAAAATCCCAAGGATAAAACCTTCTTTCTCCCTCTCCCTCTCTTGGTTTGCTAATTTTTTTTAAGGGGAAAAAAAGGAGTTGGCTTTTGTTTGCAGCATTCTCAAAAGAAGGAGAATTTGTTTTTTTTTAAAAAGGGCTCAGTCCTAGTCATCGCTTGCCCACGCTTTGAGAAGATTGTGGCTGAATTTAGAAAAGAAAGAAGCCAAACACATCACCCTGACCGCCTTCTAGCCATGCTCTGTCAATTTGTGGGTGTGTTGATCTTATACGCTAATTAATCCGCTGATAAATGCGAGGCATTGCAAACACGGGCCAAAGTGTAACAGCTAGGAGAGATGTCCAGTATCACGTTCGGCATCTGGTTTCTTGGCTGAGCAATGCCGAAAGAGCCTTGGGGTCTGTAAACACCTCGAGTGAATAAAAGAACACAACTTTTATGATCTTGCAATCTCAGGCATTAACTAAAGCTGCGGCTGCTATAAATCGGTTAAGCTGGAAGGGGGCAGGCTAAGCACTCTGTTTACATACCAGGATGCGTGCGTTTCTGGCTCTTCCCAGCTAGAACTGTGACTGATTCGCCTTCTCTGTTTTTTTCTTCACCTCTGGACGTATGAACAGGCCAGGCTGCAGCAGAATCTCATCTCTTGGAAAACAACAGTCGGCACCAGAGGACCAAGAGATGTTCTTGCACCAGCTGGATGGACAAGGAGTGCATTTATTTCTGCCATCTTGGTATCATCTGGATCAACACACCAAGGTAAGGGACACTCTTACGGTTTTTGAAAAAGTTTGGAGGGTCCCTGGGCTTGATATAGCAAAAGTCCGCCTTTTCATGCAGAAAATTCGAGTTCCAATCTCCAGCATATCTAAGTTGGTTATAGGAAACACACTTGTCTGAGCCGTGGTGGCACATTGCTTGGAAATGCAGTATTGAAGGCTAATTCTGCCGACGGCCAGCAGTTTGATTCTCACCAGCTCAAGGTTAACTCAGCCTTCCATCCTTCCGTGGTAGGCAAAATGAGGACCCAGATTGTTGGGGGCAATAGACTGACTCTGTCAACTGCTTGGAGAGGACTGTAAAGCACAATGAAGTGGTATATCAATCTAAGTGCTATTGCTATTCTCTGAAACCTTATAGTGGCTCACACTGCCAGTCAGTGTCCCCAATACTGGACTAAAAGGATGAAATTTCTGTCTGATTTCATGATAACTTTATCCTACAAAATCCATGAGAATGACTAGACTAGCTACAAAGAAGTTCGCTTGTAAACTGGGACAAGATCCCAGCGGACAGGCTGGGGGGGAAATACCCATATTCACTGCTTGTTGTTTTTTTTTTTTTTTTTTACAAATAACACTCTGAAGCACCCTTCAACTTCTTACCCTACCTTCGTTTTGGATGATAGCAAAGATATAAATGTTTCAAAGGGATGATTGGTATTTGTTAGGCAGTTAAGGCTGAGTAGCCTCAGATACATACAATTATCAAGAAGGAGTTGGCCGGTTGCACGATAGGGCAAGACCCCAACAGCTCTCAAACAGCCTCTCCTGAACAGCTTAGGATCCAAGCTAAACAGATTACCCTTGCGATGTAGGTGTGGTTTCTAATTATGCCTGCTAATCTGCGGCATTGTGTAACAATCCAGTGAGGAAGGTGGATGTCACTCTCTCCAGTCTTATTTTATTTTATTCTTTTAAGAAAGGGAAAAGCTGGGAGATGAGATTGACAAGCACTGCAGGGTTACCGAAAGGCAGTTCTCCAAAGTTGCAAAGTTTATAAGAGTTTCTTTGGTTTCTTTTTAAACAAATGAGCTTCTTAAAGTACAGATTGGTCAATATGAAAAGGTAGCACCGGGCAGCAGTGGATACAGGTAGTCCTCAGCTTATAACCATAATTGAGCCTTGATTTACAGTCATAAATTGTTGCAGTCATTAAGCAGGTGAGTGCTGGGATGCTGTGACATTTGTAAGTGCAAGGACTGGTTGTAAGTCATTTTTTTTGGTGCCATTGTAACTTCCAATGGTTGTAAGCTGAGGACTACCGGTGTAAGAAGAATCCAATTGGATCAGACCCAAAGACCAAGCATTCTGTTTCCATCCTGTTCAGTTAGAAGCTGATGGAAGCCCATCAAAAGGACATGAGGGGACTTGCTGTTTCCAAAGTTGTGCTTTCATACACACCACCTCTGGTTTTGGAAATAACTCTCCATCCAGACATCCCCATGCATGATATACGATAGCCTTGTCCTCCAGAAATTTGCCTGGAGAACTTTAAGCCATGTGAATTGATGGTGGAGGAGGAGAAGGGAAAGCAATTTTTTGTCCACTTCAGCCAGCCCAAGATTGTTTATTAGACTGATCACAGATCACAACTACTTCAGAAAATGCCAGTGATTGAAACTGTGCCCTTATGCATGAAGAACAAAAACTCAACCATTGTTCCACAGTCCTGCCCTTTAGTTATGCTTGGATCTCATTAAAATTAATTGTGCTCAAAGCAATTGTTTTTTTCTCATATGAATTCCAGAGTTACCCAATGCATATAACTTAATTTTGATTAGCGATGCTGTGTCCTTCTGCTCCTGTTAACCCCAGGTAGCATGGCCATTGATCAGGGATGATGGGAGCTGTAGTCCAACTGCCTTTAGAGAGTCACCTATTCCTGGTTTGAATCCAAGCATCCAGTGCAAGGGAAATTGCATTGGGTTTTCTGCCCTAATGTGAGATAAGGGCTTATCTGCCAAGCCGTAAACCACAATTTGCAAATCTCTTCAGCAGAATTTCTACATCAGACTTGTTCAAGGCCAATTGAATGGTTAGCATATCTGGAGCAAGGAGATTGCTCTCCCTCCTAGTGACTGCAGAGACATCTAGCTATTGTTCAATTTCCTTGACTACTGACCAACCCATATCATGAATGTCTTTCCAATCAACCATGAACTTGATTGTTGTTTTCTTCTTTCACCATCAGCCACTTGGTACCCTATGGGCTAGGAAGTCTTCCAGCACGACATAAGAGGTCCCTCCGCAGATGCGCATGCTCACATTTCAAGGATACCTCCTGTGCAACTTTCTGTCATGGCAATCCTCAGTAAGTAAGATAAGAAGCAAGAATGTATCCCTAATCCTAACCCTGATGCACCAAAGACACATTCCTTGTGTGTCCAATCACACTTGGCCAATAAAGAATTCTATCTATGTCTCTTAAGAGCCGAGGTGGCGCAGTGGTTAGAGTACAGTACTGCAGGTTACTTCAGCTGACTGCTAGCTGCAGTTCAGCAGTTCAAATCTCACCAGGCTCAAGGTTGACTCAGCCTTCCATCCTTCCGAGGTGGGTAAAATGAGAACCTAGATTGTTGGGGGTAATAGGCTGACTCTGTAAACCACTTAGAGAGGGCTGTAAAAGCACTATGAAGTGGTAGATAAGTCTAAGGGCTATTACTCTTTCATGGTCAGAATCTACAGGAGTGGTCTCTGTTTCTGCCATGTCTCCATTGTATGGAGAAGAATGGGATGGAATCCACGTTGCTGAGCATCTCCTGATCTCCTTCTGAGAAGAAGATCATCTCAATAAGCTGATAAAAGTTCACTATGGCTGGGTTCGTACAGCATTCTCAGCCGAACCGAAATAAAGCCTGTTGCAACTTTGTTCACACACAACTGTGCCACTCACAAAGCTGCCCCGTGGAAGTCATCATAGATACTTGGTAGAAACCAGAAAAGTATCCCTTTTATTATTATTAGGTCTCTTGCCTCCTGATGCACTCTCTATGATGCCTGTGGATTAAATGGAAATCTCCTTTTTAAAAAATACACAATAGAGTAGAATAGTTCGAACCTAAGAGGACTATTCTTCATCATCTCTTCTTTAGGTCTCTTGACACATATTCTCTATGCTCAGACTCTCTGAGAACGATGGCTGTGGTAGTCCAAAACACTGAAGAGCATGCAGTTATCTATTCCTACATTAAATTGTGGAACATACATACTTTTCTTGAGAAATCCAAATTTCTAGTGTCACCTTGTTCTTTTGGAAACCCAAGTAGGGTTGTGTTATGAAGAAAACACTTTTATTGAAATATATAGTAGATAACAATATAGTAGCTGGAATGGCAGTGTAGTAAAAAAAAAAAAGTCCTTTTATCTTTTTACCATTATGATCATTAAACTGGGTACTTAGAAAATATTGCATAAGGAAATCCAAGCTATAAACTTTTCTAAGAATTGGATCCTGCCTTTGTTAAACACAGAGGGAGGGAGGGAGGGAGAGAGAGAGAGAGAGAGAAGAAGGGAGGGAGAGAGGGAGAGAGAGAGAGAGAGAGAGGGAGGAAGGAGGGAGGGAGGGAGAAGAGGAGAGAAAGCTTGCCGAATAAAACCAAAGCTTAAATGTAAAAAGCAACTTAAATGTTTAAGAAATATTAATACCTTCTCACTTTGCCATTCTCAATACTCTCTCTTATGGGACTCACCTTGGCCTTTTCTTCTCCCCTCCCCCCCCAGAAATCCCCCAAAAATGCAGCTGCCTAAGGACACAGGAATATTGGCAAAGCTTCGTCAGATCAGAAATCCCAAGCTTGACAAGTTAAACTTTGGAAAGTTTTCAGGTAAAAAAAAATCTACTCGTGAGTCTTTTAATATTCGTATCGTGTAACGGTTTTGCTGCATAGCCAGTCCCATTGGGCAAACGTGAAGATCTGCAAAATGCTTTGGACCAGGGTTTTCATAGTCATTGCTCACCCTCCTCTTGAAATTCTGGGCAGAGAATTTCTCTGTCTAATTCTCTGTCAGAAATCCGTCTCTCTCCAATCTAGAATATCTGTTTTAACAGAATAATAGAGTTGGAAGGGACATCGGACGTCTTCTGCTCAAGCAGGAGATCTATACGCTTGATGGTGAACCTATGGCACGTGTGCCAGAGGTGGCAGACAGTGTGTTCTCTGTGGGCACGTGCACTATTGCCAGCTGCTCTTTTTGTTTCCGGCACACACATGTGTGCCAGTTAGCTGGTCTTCGTAGGTGCTGGAGCACTGGAAAACATCCTGAAAATGGCCTGAAAAACAGCCTGAAAACAGCCCAAAAAACAGTGTGAAAATGGCCCGAAAAACAGGCAAAAATGCCCCCAAAAATGGGCATGCATGCACTGGTCAGTTTGGGTTTCCGGCACTCCGGCGTGCGCACATGCACACACATGCATGCGTGTTCCGGCTTGGGCACTCGGTGCCGAAAAGGTTCGCCATCACTGATTTATACCATTTCAAACAAATGGTTGTCCAATCTTTGGGAAAGCACATCCCCTTTGCTAATAAACTCATTTCCCCATTGACTTAATGAGGTCTTCCCGATGCAGAAATCTCTCCTAAAAGAGTAGGGAAACTACCGACAACATGCTGCCACATGCCTCAGTGTGTGATGGGAACTCAGCCACTCTTGGCATATTTTCCAAATCAGGTCATTGCTTAAGCCATAATATGATTTTTCGGGGGGGGGGGGGTGTTCAGCGTATACTGGGTATCACAATTATATTTGCGTGCATGCAGTGGTGGGATGCTGCTGGTTTAACAACCGGTTCGGTGATCACACACAAAGTGAAATATAATCTTCAGTGAATATTCCTGGGGCATAGGTATAATGCTGACTATTTATTTGATTGTATAATTCACAGGTTCTTATGCTTTCCGGAATTGAATTTACCAGAAGGCTTTCTCCAAGATCTCAAGGTCTTCCATGGGAAAAGAGTTTCCTGAAGATAAAGGGATCAGCAGGAAATTTAAGGATGCTCCTTGTCATTGTCAATGGAGTCCTCCATTTCCAAAGATGCTCCTCTATTAAGGAGTCAAAGGAGAGGACACGTAACATTGATGGAGAAGAAAGAAAAGTCTACCAAAAGATGGGACTGGGATGAACAAGGAGCATCATTGCCAATGGAACACTTCCCCTGATACTCCAAAGACGATACCGAAGAGGGGAAAAGATCTCGCCATTTTTCTCCTGCTCCTCGCTATTGCTCCTCCTCCTCCTCCTGCGCGTCTTTGTTGGGTGAAGTTTATCCATGGGGTTCCCAGAAAATGTCCTGGTGGATAGCTGGCAATTTATACATCCAGAAGGATTTTTGGGGAAACGCAATATGTACAGCCCTGAATGTAACAATGCAAAGTCCTTCCCACCCACTTCTCTGGAACTTGCTTGTGCTGTTTTAGCGTTTGATTTTAGAGGTCATTTGCTTGTGGGGGAATCAAACAGCTTCTCCCCCCCCAATTCTGTCCTGTCTGAATTCCTCTTTATTTTTCTGTCAATACAGGTAATCCTCAACTTGCAACCCCAATTGAGCCCAAAATTTATGTTGCTAAATGAGAAATTCATTAAGTGTCCCATTTTACGATTTTTCTTGCCACATTTGTTAAGCGGTTGTTAAATGAGTAACATGGTTGTTAAGTGAATCTGATTTCCCCCATTGACTTTGCTGGCCAGAAGTTTGCAAAAGGGGATCACATGACCCAGGGACATTGCAACCGTCATAAATGTGAGTCAGTTGTCAAACATCCGAATGCAAATCATGTGACCGTGGGGAATGCTTCAATGGAGCCTTGGTAGTACAGTGGTTTAAAGCACCCTGTTATTAAGACCAGCTGCCTGCAATTACTGCAGGTTCGAATCTTGCCAGGCTCAAGGTTGACTCAGCCTTCCATCCTTTCTAAGGTAGGTAAATTGAGGACCCAGTTGTGGGGGCAATAAGCTGACTTTGTATAAATATACAAAAAGTATGAAGGCTATTGCTTAGCACATTGTAAGCCGCCCTGAGTCTCCGGAGAAGGGCGGCATATAAATCAAAAAATTAAAAATTAAAATTAAAACGGTCATAAATGTGAAAAATGGCCATGAGTCACTTTTTTCAGTGCCGTAAGCTCAAACGGTCACTGTTATTAGTTGAGGACTACCGGTACATATCTGGGAATGAGACAGATGCAATCTTTTGGGTACCCTTTTCTCCCAAGGCCATTAAAATAAAAGGGAAGGGGGAAGTTAAGTTGAATAGTCCCGATTTAAAATATCATAAGGAATCAAGACTAGTTCAACCAGGTTAATTGCCAAAACTCCACTTAAGAATCTGGGCATCATCCCCATACTTTTGTATTATAACAAAAGTTCATCAAAGATTGTTCACACGTTCTACGGAGACTTTTTTTAAAAAACTTCATTCAGGAAATAAGCATTTCAGAGGTGGGTTTCAGCAGGTTCTGACCAGTTCTGGAGAACCAGTAGCGGAAATTTTGAGTAGTTCGAGGAACTGGTAAATACCACCTCTGACTGGTCCCGCCCCCAACTATTCTCTGCCTCCCAAGTCCCAGCTGATTGGGAGGAAATAGGGATTTTGCAGTAACTTTCCCCTGGAGTGAGGTGGGAATGGAGATTTTACAGTATCCTTCCCCTGCCATGCCCACCAAGCCATGGCACACTCACCAAGCCACACCCACAGAACTGGTAGTAAAAATTTTTGAAACCCACCACTGAAGCATTTCATCTCATTTTCATTCAAGGGAATTCCTTCCTTGTCTAAAACACAGGACACTTTAACTCTTTTCCTTATGAAATGTAGCTTCGGTTATAAACCATAATGTCCAAAGAAACACCTGGTGGGATATACAATCTGGCCAAGAAGCTCTTATCCCAGCTTGTTTCCATGGTGATTGTGGTTTAAAGTTCTCTCTGTACAGCTCCTTAAAAACATTACTTCAAATGTTTGTCTTATATATGGCTGCTTAAAGCACAATGTATATTTTTTCTAAACTCCAAGCGGGTCTGTTTTACTTTTGCACTTGGGCAGATTTTGTTCAGTCTCAAAAAAAGAAAAAAAAATCTGCTTCCTTGCACAAAAATGAGTAAAAGGGCCTCATTTTGTACGGTCCTAGATTTATGCAACCAAAGATGTTATGGAAAAGGGAACTTTACATGCCATCTTCTTCTGTTCATATTTGCGTGCAACTTCTTTATGTAGCATTCCAGTGCTTGACTAGACATGTAGATAGATGTAGATATATTTATTTTTTCAAACTTTTTTTTTATTATAAAATACAAGCTTTTATTTGTAAAAAAAAATAAATAAATAAAAAATATCCCAAACCAACTTTTCTGTCTTTCTGATTCAGAGGTACGAGAGGAGATTCCATAAGTGGAAGTTTTTTAAGAACGGATGTTTCTTTAGCTGCATTACGCAATAACTATATAAATGGAAAGGCCTTTGATATGGTTAGGTTCACACATCGTAATTGTTCCAGCCCTAAAAGGTAGTCCAGATAAGAAGCACAATCAGGACTAGTAACTCTATCTTTATTGCAAAGTTCCGTTAACAGAATCTTGCAAGAGAGAAAGTATTTGTCCCCTCTTTTCCTTTTGCTTTCCAGAAAACCAGGGAGGGTCTCTTCTGAAAAGTTTCCGACATATTCTTTCCTTCTGAGCTCAAATACCTTTTACACACCTGTTGTGCAGTCTGTGACTCTCCCTTCTGTCTCCCAAGGCCATTTTCAGACACCATGGCAATGACACTCTGTTGAAAATAAAGTTGGATTATTTGTTGTTGCTGAGTGTGCTATGGGAAACCGGACTTTGACCTAGTATGTTGTCTGCATCAGGCCATTAAATTAAACCATAACATAGCTTATTTGCTTAGGCATGGCATGTTAGGTGAACACAGCAATTATATTTGCTAACCTGGGTTAGAATTTAATAAAGATAAAGGTTCCCGTCGCACATATGTGCTAGTCGTTCCTGACTCTAGGGGGCGGTGCTCATCTCCGTTTCAAAGCCAAAGAGCCAGCGCTGTCCGAAGACGTCTCCATGGTCATGTGGCCGGCATGACTAAATGCCAAAGGCGCACGGAACACTGTTACCTTCCCACCAAAGATGGTCCCTATTTTTCTACTTGCATTTTTTACCTGCTTTCGAACTGCTAGGTTGGCAGAAGCTGGGACAAGGAATGGGAGCTCACCCCGTTACACAGCACTAGGGATTCGAACCGCTGAACTGCCGACCTTTCGATCGACAAGCTTAGCATCTTAGCCACTGAGCCACTGCGTCCTTCTTTATTTATTTAGAATTTAGTGGTGTGCAAATCAAACTACAGAGACTCTTTCATTTCATTAACCATTTCTGATTTATTAGAATATAGAATAACAGAGTTGGAAGGGACCTTGGAGATCTTCTAGTCCAACTCCCTACACCACTTCAGGAAACCCTACACCACTTCAGACAAATGGTTATCCATGGTTATACTAATGCATTTCATCCTCAGTCCCTATGGGCTCTAGGCAGTTTGCAGATATTGCAAGTGCGGCAATAATAAATAATCAATTTTAAAATGTTGATAGCAAAAGTATCTCTTATCTTGGACTCAGCTTGGTCAGCTCCCTAAAGACTAACATTAACTAAGGCCTTGAACGAGGTGCCGTTTTGCTGTTTACAAACGCTGAGGAATTTTTTGGGGGTGGGGGGGGGTTTGAACCCAGTCAGTATTTCTCAACCATCCATTAAAGAAACGGGGCCAGAAGGGCAATTTCCTTGAATCACTTTTAACATTCCGCTAATGAACCTGCAACTCCTTCTTCTTAATACACAATTAACAGTCTATTCCAAAGAGGTCATAAAGACTTTGGCTAATAAAATGTTGATCAGTTAATCAGGTGAGTCAATCTGAAATTAATATGTTCTTTGGTAGTACCGAGTGAGCCTCATAAAAATCAGGTTGGAAAAGGGATGGGAAGAATGTGATTAGCTTCAAAGGCCAAATATACAGTACAGGTCAATTACCTGCAGTCCAGCATCCTGGCCTTTCTGGGTATCTTGAATGCAGCCTCTTGAAGAAGGATGTGCAGCCCTTCTTAACCGCTGAACAGACAGATCTCTTTGCTATAGCTATAAAGTCAGTGGTGGGATTCAGCCAGTTCGCACCACTTCGGGAGAACCGGTTGTTAACTTTCTGAGCACTTTGATGAACTGATTGTTGGAAGAAATCATTAGGGCAGAGAACCGGTTGTTAAATTATTTGAATCCCACCACTGTATAAAGTGTATCCCAAGATATGGAGTAAGTATAAATCAGTAACATTCAAGAAAGTTTTGGAGAGTCTCCTGTGTCATGTTCTTATACTTATTTAGTGATCAGGTAATGTGTGTATGTGTGTGTGTGTGTGTGTGTGTGTGTGTGTGTGTGTGTGTGTGTGAGAGAGAGAGAGAGAGAGAGAGAGAGAGAGAGAGAGAGAGAGAGAGAGAGAGAGAGAGAGAGGTGGAATTCAGCAGGTTCTGACCAGTTCTGGAGAACCGGTAGCAGAAATTTTGAGTAGTTCAGAGAACCGGCAAATACCACCTCTGACTGGCCCCGCCCCCATCTATTCTCTGCCTCCCGAGTCCCAGCTGATCAGGAGGAAATGGAGATTTTACAGTATCCTTCCCCTGCCATGCCCACCAAGCCACGCCCACAGAACCGGTAGTAAAAAAAAATTGAATCCCATCACTGGTGTGTGTGTGTGTGTTGAGGGCAAAGAGAGAGATAAAGAGAGAGATGGTGGATTTTCCTGTTTCCTATGAACAGATTTAACAGATTAGCAGAGTTGGAAGGGACCTTGTAGGTTGTCTAGCCCAACCCCCTACTCAAGCAGGAGACCCTACGCCATTACTGACAGATGGCAGTCCAACCTCTTCTTGAAAGCCTCCAGTGATGAAGCTCCCACAACTTCCGAAGGCAACTTCTGTTCCATTGGTTGATTGCTCTCACTGTCAGAAAATTTCTCCTCATTTTTAGGTTGAATCTCTCCTTGTTCAGTTTCCATCCACTATTACTTGTCTGGCCTTTGGGTGCTTTGGAAAATACTGTAGTTTGATCCGTTCCTCTCTATGGCAGCCCCTCAAATATTGGAACACTACTATTATGGCTCCCCTGATCCTTCTCTTCACTAGACTAGCCAGGCCCAGTTCCTGCAACTGTTCTTTGTATGTTTTAGCCTCCAGTCCCCTAATCATCCTGGTTGCTCTCCTCTTCATTCTTTCCAGAGTCTCCACATCTTTTTTATAGTGTGCTGACCAATACTGGATGCAGTACTCTAGGTGTGGTCTTACTAGAGCTTTATAGAGTGGTAATAGTACCTCACTTGATCTTGAATGTATCCCACTGTTAATGCAATTTAGGATTGCACTGGCTTTTTTGGCTGCCACTGCACACTGTTGGCTCATATTTAATTGGTTGTACACTAAGACTCCAAGATCCCTCTCACAGATGATTACACGATCATCTCTTTGGCAATCTGCAACCATCTCATGGTTGAATTTAAAGGAAAGGTATCACAAAAGTCTCAGGATCCTTTTTTCAGATTAGGAAATTCAAGAGCAAATTTTGATGAGGTAGATGTCTATGGAGATTCTCAAACATCCAGGTCATGATTAAAGAACCCTCTTTCGGTATGGTAGATTTCTACTCTGGGAAAAAGAATTCCAAACACAGTAATTCAAGCCCAGTAGTTGAGACCAACTTTCACATTTCTCTCGGTGCTGGCTTCAACCTTATTTTACTACAGAGAATTTCTGTTACGCATCTTTCCCTCACTCTGAAGCTCCCTTGCATGCTTTGTTCCCCCACATTAAAAAAAAACACAACACCCCAAAGAGGAACTTTCCTCATGGTGACTTCTCTGGGATACAAAGGATTAGGGATGGCATGATATCAGTGTTCCGATATCTAAGGGGCTGCCACAAGGAAGGTTAACTTACTTTTCAAAGCACCTGAGGGCAGGACAAGAAACAATGGATGGAAACTATTCAAGGAGAGAAGCAACCTAGAACTAAGGAGAAATTTCCTGATGGTTTGAACAATTAATCAGTGGAACGACTTGCATCCAGAAGTTGTGAATTGGAGGTTTTTAAGAAAAGTTTGGACAACCATTTGTCTGAAATGGTATACAATTCCCTGCCTGAGCAGGGGGTTGGACTAGAAGACCTCTAAGGTCTTCTCTTCCAATTCTGTTATTCTGAGGAGATTGTGGCTGGCCAAAGAGAAGTTCTTATAATGAAAGACAGATCATTCACACATTCCCCTTTGTGCAAAAATGCTGCTCTCCACCATAAAAAGATAACCTAAATGTGCTACTACATGGAAAGACATTTGACATATTAAGTAAGAGTATGGGAAAAAATAAATCAAGGGAATTATTTTGCATGACACTAATTAAGATTTGTGGTGAGGCAACCAGATAGATCTTCAGTGGGAATCAACATCTGCAAGATGTTGCAATTAAAACCCTATCCCTTTTGTACATATACACATTGCATCTTTCATATTTGCAGATGATAACTTCCACCACGGACATCTCTGGAAAATGCTTGTGGTAGCATCTTGCATGGTCTTTTTACCAATGAAATCTCTGAAATATTGAAGAAAGGTGCTGATGAAGCCATAGTGGCAATGCCCTGAGTCAGCATTAGGAGGTTTAGCTTGGAGCTCCCCTTTAAATTTCCCACAATGCCCTTAAAGATGAGGGATACAGTGGTGCCCATTTTAGGAGAATTATAACAGAATAATAGAATAGAATTCTAGAATTCTTTATTGGCCAAGTGTGATTGGACACACAAGGAATTTGTCTTGGTGCATACACTCTCGGTGTACATAAATAACTACATAACATACATAAATAACTAACAGAACAACAGAATAACAGAGTTGGAAGGAACCTTGGAGGTCTTCTAGTCCAACCCCTTGTTCAGGGAGGAACCCCTATAATATTTCAGACAAATGGTTGTCCAATCTCTTCTTGAAAACTTCCAGTTTTGGAGCATCCACAATTTCTTGAGGCAAGTTGTTCCACTGATTAATTGTCCTAACAGTCAGGAAATTTCTCCTTTGTTCTAGGTTGCTTCTCTCCTTGTTTAGTTTCCATCCATTGCTTCTTGTCCTACCCTCAGGTGCTTTGGTGAATAGGTTGACCCCATCTTCTTGATGGCAACCCCTCAAATTGGCTTGAATTGGGAGAACTTGTCATAGCTCTCTGATATTTGAGCAAGGGCTAATTCTCAGCCCCATATATAAATGGTGGGAATAGTGAACTCAGGACCTTCTCGTGTGCAACTTCTGTTCTAA